GAACAATATTACCCAAATATACTAGAGGAAATACTGAATTTCAATTTTTCTAAAATTTATGACAGAACTACTTTGGGAAGATGGTGGGCAGACAGCATCATGTGAGAAGCCAGTCTCATTCTCCAGAGTAGGAATTCTATTGATACTTTCTAAAAACAATAAATTAAAAATTAATAATATAAGCATGTCATTTGGAAATACAGAGATAAATACCAGAAGAAAGAGCAAAAAGAATTAAAAATGGCTGTCTTGGCGGGAGGGTATAGCTTGGTGATAGAGTACATGCTTAGCATGCACAAGGTCTTGGGTTCAATCCCCAGTACCTCCATCTAAAAAAAATTTAATTAACTAATTAATTAATTAATAAACCTAGTTACCTCTCCCCGCAAAAAAAATTTTTTTTATAAAGTGGCTGTCTCTGAGGAGAGGGATTTTCAGGGAAAGAGACTGCTATTCCTCTAGATAAATTTCATCTTGTTGGATTTTTTTTTACAACTGTGTTCATGTATAAACTGATTAAAAATTATGTCATAGAAGCACTGACCTCAAAAATTATTTTGAGCTGTTATAGTACCCTGTAATGCTAACATCAAGTATCAATGAACACAGACTCTCCTGGTGTGCTTGTGTAAATTGCAGAGTCCCAGACCCCTACCAAGGGTATTTAAATCCTTAAATCTGGGATGAGCCTTGGGAATCTGCATTCTAAACTGGCATCCCAGGTGATTCTGATGCAGGTAATCCAAAGGCCACCCTTTGAGAAGCATGGAGCAGACGAAGACTGACAAGAGTGAACAGGGAGACAGCATCCTCCAGGTGGGCAGGCTGCCAGACCTGATTTCCACCCGCGTCAGCTCCCTGCACTTAAATTCAAGTTGCCTGTTTAAGTATGGTGAAACTTTGAAAAAGCTGAGCTTTCTTGTGAATATAATTCTGACACACATTTATCCTCCTTCCCCACCCAGCGCATTCTCTGCCTCAAAGGTCCCAAACTCGCAACCATGCATGTCTGTTCACCGCCACTGGGACCCACTATAACAGCGACTTGCACTTGGTCCAGCTACTTCCCTCTGGGTCCCTCTCAGAGATTAGAGTCCCTAAAATGGCCAGTCAAGGTCTTTGGGGGGATGGGGCAGGGACATCAGGAGAATGAAGGCCTCATTAACCTCAGACAATGGCCTGGAGCAGATTCCTCCTATGCATTCAGCAGCCTGTATAGGATTAGTGTATACAGCATGTTTCGAAGGCCCCATGCTATATCCCATTGGCCGCCAGTGTTAAAGGCATGAATGCCTTTTGCTGAGGCAGAGCAAGCCTCTCTGTAACCATATTTTCTCTTTTTAAAGAAAGAATCCCAGCAAGGCTGATGGAGGTAGCCTGAAGGTCCGCAGGCCTTGTGGCCTGTCCTGGGGCTGTCGCCGGCTCTCCGCTCCCCTTGGCTCCCTCTCTGACTGGCATGATGTTGCCCCTTGACCGTGGGCTCAGGGGCCTCCAGCCAAAGCTGCTGACTCTGACCAGGGCCTTTCTCTGGGCTGTGTTCATTTGCATCGCGCCGCTGAGGGTGGAGGAGCTATATAGGCGCTGGCCCATTCACAGAGGATTAGGCCTGGGCCGAGGGCGCGGCAGGAGAGCGGCCGCAGCCAAGGCCCAGCCCCGCTCCCTGAGCGGTCACCATGCCCTACCTGCTGCCAGGGTTCTTCTGTGACCGCGTCATCCGGGAGAGGGACCGGAGAAACGGAGAGGGCAGCGCCACACAGCCCCTCAAGTATGAGGGGCAGGATTTTGTTGTGCTCAGACAACGGTGCCTGGCTCAGAAGTGCCTCTTTGAAGACTGTGTGTTCCCAGCAGGTGTTCAGTCCCTGGGCTCCCACGAGCTGAGCCAGAAAACCAAGATGAAGGCCATCACGTGGAAAAGGCCAAAGGTAGGGATGGGAGGGGGCTTCAGGGGACAGCTCCTGGGGACAGCTCCCGGGGACAGGAGGCCAAGGGGTCCAGAGCCTGAGGCTCTGAGCAAGTGGCTTATCGACATTTTCCTCCCCATGTGCCCCCCAGATACCTCCTTCCTTCCTCCTGGAACTGGAGCTGTTATTTTCTGTTCCTGAACTAGAAATAATGTAACACTTTATAGATCCCTGAGACTGTAAACATTTTTAAGAGAGCTAACGCACTGACTTAAATTCATAGTAAAATAGGAAGGAATAGTTGACTATCACGTCTCTTCTTGAGAGCAGGTATTTTGGGAGTGGGAGAGTGGAGCGGTTAGGAGGACCAGGCTCACCGCTTCCAGGAGAGTTCCGTGGAAGGTGGTGAACAGTTAGGAAACTGCTCCAGGAGGCTGCAGACTTGCCTTCTGGACTTTTTGCCTAAGGCTGGCTCATTAGTGACGTGTCACTTTTGTTTAAACAAAAACGTTTATGCTGACCAGCTACACTCCTTACGGGGGGGGGGGGGGCAAGTCTGCTCAAGGATACCTTACTGCCCTGCAGCTGAGGGGCACGTTTGTTTCAGCTGTGCTCAGCTGCTCTGTGCTGCTCTCAGTGGGGTCTTGGGACTACCTGCATCAGACTTACCTGGGAAGCCAGCTTAAAATGCAGATTCCCAGGGCTCATCCCAGACATATCTATAAATACTTCTATATGTAACTACCTGTATCTATAGTAAATAAAACATGAGTTCATGCTGACTTATACCAAAGTATTTCTCCATGTGTGTTATTGTAAATGGATTTTCCCCCCCAAATTCCAGTTGTTTATTGCTGGTATGTCAAAAAGCAACTGACTTTGATTTACTCACCTTCTATGTTGCAACTATATTATCCTTGCTTATTAGTTCCAGAAAGTTTTTTTTTCTTGTTGTTGTTTGTTTAGGGTTTTCTATACAGACAATTGTGTTATCTGTGAATGAAGACAGTTTATTTCTTCCTCTCCAATCCCTAAACATTTTATTTCCTTTTCTTGTTTTATTGCATTAGCTAGAACTTTCAGCATGATGTCCAATAAGAGTGGTAAGAGGAGATATTTTGACTTGTTCCTGATCTTAGGGGAAGGCTTCTAGTTTCTCAGCATGAGAATATAAATATGAAAATAGCCGCAGTTCTTTCATTTATACATTGTTTCTGAGTTGCTGGTTTTTTTTGAGGATTTGGTGTCTGTTTTCATAAGAGATATATTGGTCTGCAGTTTTCCTTTACAATGTCTTTTTCTGGTTTGAGTATTAGGGTGATGCTGGCCTCACAGAATGAGTTAAAAAGTGTTTTCTCTGCTTCCGTTCTTCTGGATGATATCACAGAGAACTGGAATCATTTCTTCGTTGAATGTTTGGTATTATTCACCAGTAAAATCATCCGAATCTGATGCTGTCCTTTTTGGAGGGTTATTAATTATTGATTAAATTTCTTAATAGGTGTAGCCATATTCAGATAATCTATTTCTCATTGTGTCGCTTTTGGTAGTTTGCAGTTTGTGTCTTTCAAGAAATTAGTCCATTTTATCTAAGTTATCAAATCTGTGAGCATAGAGCTATATGTAGTCTTCCTTTATCATTCTTCTAATGTCCTTGGAATCAACAGTGGTGATGTCGTCTTCATTTTTGATGTTGGTAATCTGTATCTTGTCACTTTTTTTCTTGATTAGCATAGCTAGAGGTTTATTAATTTAATTGACCTTTTCAAAAAAACTAGTTTTTGGTTTTATTGATTTTCTCCGTTTTGCTGTTTTTAATTTCATTGATTCTGATCTTGTTTCTTATTATTTCTTTTTCTACTTGCTTTGGGCTTAAATTTTTCTTCTTTCTCTGGTGTCCTGAGGTAGAATGTTGGTATTGCTATCAGGTCTTTTTTCCTTTCTAATATATGCACTTAATGCTATAAATTTCCCTTTAAGTTTTCACTGCATCCCACAAATTTTGATGTTATAGTTTCATTTTCATTTAGTTCAAAGTATTTTTAAACTTCTCTTGAAATTCCTTCTTTGACTAATGTGTTATTTAGACGTGTGTTATTTAATTTCCAAACAATGTGGGATTTTTCCAGTTATCTTGTTGTTATTGATTTCTAGTTTTGTTCCACTGTAGTCTGAAAACATACATTGTATGTTTTCTTTTCTTTTAAATTTGTTGAGGTGTGTTTTATGGCCCAGAATGTGATTTGTCTTAGTGACTCTTCCATGTGACCTTGAGAGCAGAATGTGTATTCTGTTATCATTGGATGGAGTATTCTATAAACGTGAATTAGATCAAGTTGATTTATAGTGCCATTCAGGTCAACTACATCCTTACTGATTTTCTGTCTGCTTGATATATAATTACTGAAAGAGGGGTGTTAAAGTTTCCAACTATAATACAAGATTTTCTGTTTTTCCTTTCAGATATATCACTTTTTGCCTCACTCTTTTGACATTCTGTTGATAGGTGCATCCACATTTAGGACTGTACTTTTAGGAAAGGATTCCTTTATCACTGTGTAATGCATCTCTTTATCTCTGACAGTTTTCCTTGTTATGAAGTTGGCTTTGTCTGAAATTAATACGGCTACTCCAGCTTTCTTTTGATGAGTGTTAGCATGGTGTATATCCTTCTCTAGCTATCTGAGTCTTTACATTTAAAGTTATTTTCTTGTAGACAACATATAGTTAGGCCTTTTGAAAAAATCTATTCTCACAATCTCTATCTT